ATAGAAAATTTGATTATTCTATCTCCAGCCTCATTTCTGTCCCAAGTCCATCCTTCCAACTGCCATTCCTTCATTGTTTCCAACTTTTGCATTCCAGTCACCAGTTATAACTAATGCATCTATATTGTAGTTTGGTCAATATTGGACTGCAAGTTTTGGTAAAAATTTTTAATTTCCTCCTCTTTGGCTTGAGCTTGGGAGTGTATATTTGAAAAACAGAGGTATTAACAGGTGCCCCTTGTATGTTGTTGTTGTTGATTGCCTTCCAGTTGAGCACGACTCATAGCGACCTGTGAACTAAAGGCTTGGAACTCCTCTGCAACTGTCGACATTTATCAAAGTTCATAGTTTCTGGAGGCATGTTGTTTAGGAATTGGATGCTACTCCTGCTTCCAAACCTGTCAGAGTATGTTATTGGTTGAGTTGCCTGTGATGCATAGCAACCCTGTTCCTTGTTGTGTGTGGATAATATAATATAATAAATATAATTAATATAATATCACTTATAACATTGTCCTTCAGAAGAGAACTCAAAATTGAATATTTTAAAATTTATGTATTCATTGTTGCACATTTCCCATTTCCCTCCTTTCCCCTCCCAGTCCACTTTGCAGTGCACCTCTTGTTCAAGGTAGCTGTCATACATGTAATACCTAATCATATATTCTTCCCCTCATCTGTTCCAAAGCAGGGTTCATTAGCTATCCTACTCTTTTCCTGTTCTACTCCAAACCCCCCAGGTCAGTCGTATTTTATAACAGTGGTATTATGCAATATTTGTCCTTTTGTGACTAAGGTACTTCACTTAGCATAATGTCCAACATATTTGGAGAACATAGGGACCTCTCCAAAATGCTAAAGAGCAATAATGTCAGTCTAAAGACTAAGGTGCACCTGATACAAGCCATAGGGTTGCTATGAGTCATGGGTGACTTGATGGCACATAACAACAACAACAATATTCTCCAGGCTCACTCATGTTGTATAATGTTTTACGAGTTGATAGTTTTTCATTGCTGTGTAATATTCCATTGTGTGAATGGACCGTAGTTTTTCTATTTGTTGGTGGTCACTTGAGCTGCTTCCACCTCTTCAGTATTGTGAATAATGCAGCAGTAAATGTAGATGTGCATACATCTGTTTGAGTCATAGTTCTGATTTCTTTAGGGTCTAACCCCAGTAGTGAAATTGCTGGATCAAATGGTATTTTTGTTTTGAACTTTCTGAGAAAGCGTGAGACCACTTTCCATAGTTATAAGAGTTCCAGTCTCACCTCAAAACCTACTACACAGAAGCGGCAACCAAAACAGCATGGTACTGGTACAATGACAGGTACATAGACCAATGGAACAGAATTGAGAACCCAGAAATCGACCCAGCTGTCTATAGTCAACTGATATTCCGCAAGGAAATCAAAGCTGTCAAATGTGGAAATAATAACCTCTTCAACAAATGGTGCTGGCAAAACTGGACTGCTACCTGCAGAAAGCTGAAACAGGATCCCCATCTCATACCATACAAAAAAAAATCAATCAAGGTGGATCAGAGACCTGGGAATAAAGCCCCAAACCATAAAGTTCATAAGAGACAAACTGGGATCAAGGTTAGATGGCCTAGTTTATGGTATAAAGAGAGTGCCAAATACAGCTAGAAATGCCTAATCTGGAGAGGATAAAATTGACGAATGGCATCTTCTAAAGTTAAATCCCTGTGTGCATCAAAACCTTTTTTCAGCTTAGTGAAATGGTCTTCACAATTACTTGTTACACTTCAGAGAGCTGCACAATGACTAAGGATGACAGAAGGATCGATGCCTTTGTGTTTTGGTGCTGGAGAAGAGTCTTGAACTGGACCGCCAAGGAAACAAATAGGTCTTCCCTAGAAAGGGTGAAACCGAAATTCTCCTTGGAGGCTAGGATTTTGAAGTTCCATCTCACATACTTTGGGCACATGGCCGGGAGGGACTGTTCCTTGGAGAAGAACATCATGCTTGGAAGGGTGGAGGGACAGCGCAGGAGAGGAAGACGCTGGACGAGATCGAAAGATACAATAACTCAGGCCATGCGGGTTGGTGTGCCGCAGTCTGTGAGATGGACTCTGGACAGGGTGGGAGGCAGAGCGGTTGTGCATAGGGTCGCTATGGGTCGCAGACGACTCTACCGCACTTAACAACAACGATGAACCTGGTCATTGCTTGGTCCTGGGGACACAGGAGTGAGAAGCTCTGTAGGAACTACGTCACGTGGAGGGTCTCTGAACAGCAGTGGGGAGTGCAGTACACAGCTGGCTCAGGGCACACAGCTGGCTGCCCTCCTTAAAATGCAGGACCAGGAAAAGCACTTGGAGGTTTTGCTATTTCATTTCCATAGCTGCCCATAAGCTTTTATCGTCGTGAATGTGCACAGATGAAGAACAGACACAAGTTTGTAATGGAGAGATTATGTCACGTGGCCCTGTAGGTAAGTGGTAAGCCCAGATGAAGGCTTACAGAGGTCTTGTTCATGCGGTCATTGTTTTCTCTAACACAAGCTCATCGTCAGCTCATTGAGCGCAGCCCCCAGCACCTCTCACATAGTTTCTGAGGCCATAAACCTTTTTTTGAGGAATATGTCTACCTTCCTCCAGAGGAGCTGCTGATGAATCCAAACCACTGATCCATTGACCTCGTAGCTGAACACACTTGCATTCCACTGCCCAGCTCCTTCCTGCTGTCTGTAAAGTGTTACCATCGCCTCCATATACCATTTGACATCGCAGTTACACACGGGGTTCAGTTGTTACGATCCATGCCGTCCCGTCGGTATCATCCCGTAGCTGGCCCCCCAGTGGGTTTGCAGAAGCAGCTTGTGGGTTAGAATCATAAACCTTTAGATTATCAGCACAACTCCTTACTACTAAGCCATTAAAACCTACAAAGCAAATGAATCTGAGGGGCATTGCCTAGAAATTTTTCCTCCTAAATTTGGCTGAAACTGAGGAGGACCTCATGCACTTACTGCAGAGGGTCAAGGACTGCAGCCTTCAATACGGACTGAGGCTCAATGTCAAGACAAAATTCTCACCACTGGACCAATCGGTAGCATCAGGATGGATGGCAAAGAGATTGAGATTGTTCACAGCTTCAGTTTGCTCGGCTCCACAGTCAACACTCTTGGCACCAGTAGCCAGGAAATCAAAAAACGTATTGCGATGGGAAAGTCTGCGGTTAGGGACCTCTCCAAAATACTCAAGAGCAACAGTGTCTCTCTGGAGACTAAGGTCCGCCTGATGCAGGCCATGGTTTTTGCAATCACTTGTTATGCATCAGAGAGTTGGGCAATGACTAGGGAGGATAGAAGGAGAATTGACGCCTTTGAGCTGTGGTGCTGGAGAAGAGTATTGAATGTACCATGGACTGCTAAGAAAACAAACAGATTCATCGTAGAGAGGATTAAACCAGGCTGCTCCTTGGAGGCAAGGATTCTGGGGCTTCATCTGACATACTCTGGACATGTTGTAAGGAGAGACAGATCTTTAGAGAGGGACATCATGCTGGGTAGAGTAGAGGGACAGCGCAGGAGGGGAAGACCCTCTATGAGGTGGATTGATTCAGTGACTGGGGTACTCGGAATGCGTGTGTCAGAGGCAATGAGATTGGCACAGGATAGAGCACGGTTTAGGGCTGTTGTACATAGGGTCGCTATGAGTCGCAAACGACTCGACGGCACATAACAACAACAACAACAACAACAACAATTTGGCTGGTGTGACTCCAGCCTCTCACATCATGTAAAATTTTCAGCAACATTTCAACAGCAGGTCTGTCTGATTTCTAAGTTCCCAGTAATGCTTCCACCTAAGCCCGATTCTCTCATCTCACACTTTTTTGGACATTTGCAAGGAATAAGGATTTGATGTTATAAATTTATGAGGGGGACATGCCTGATTGGGACAGCAGCTCTCTGTCCCATTGCACTGACAGGTATCTTATATCAGAGCGGCAAACAACAGTAATAAATTCCTGGTCGTTGAGTACCACCAAATGGCCTCCAACTCAAAGTGACCCCAAGGACAGTGATCTTTACACCTTAGAGTGGTTCCACCTCCAGCAAAGTGACACACTGTCCCCTCCACACCCCTCACACCTCGTAGTGACCCCACGTACAACAGAGTGAGATGCTTTCCAATCCTGGAGATTGGATTGGCAGGGCCTGCAGCAGTTCCCGAGCATGTCTGAGTGGGGAGGATGGTGCATGGCAACGCTGCGTGCAGCTCTGTTGTTCACGTGCTCACTGTGGCTGTAGTCGACTCACGGCACCTGATAACAGCAACATCCTTAATAAAGTCGCCGCCTTGGCCAGGCCGTGTCCCGGGTCTTCTCTGTCAGGTCTCAGAGAAAAGCAGGCATGTTTTGTCTGGGGAATATGCTCACACAGGAGCCAGGTCAAAGGAGCTGCTTTTTGGGCAAGTCCCTTGGTTCAAGTGCCCTGGGTTCTGGCTGCAGAGCAGAGCTGAGACCCTTCTTTCAGTAGACATGCTCACACCCCCACTGTCTCACACCTCAGGACAAGCCCTGGGCAGAGGGTTTGGGTGTGTGCTTGGCTGTCTCTGTCACTGGTGGCTGTGGAGTCATGAGGTAGAAGTGCCCCATGGGTGCCCCTTCATTTTTATCTTTACCGAACGGACTTACAACTCTTTCTCCAGAAGAGTGGTGAGTAAGTTAGAACCACCATCTTGCAGTTCACAGCAGAGCACTTAAATCTCTGCGTCACGTATGGCTTAATCTTAGAGGCCACACCTGAATCGTGGCCTGACAATACAATGTCAGGACCTTAGCACCCCATGTTTTACAGACAAGAGGAAGGAAGGTTGGAGGCAAGCTGCCAGCAAGGCTGCAGCCCAGGGGCCCCCCAGCTGACCGGCTTGTGTTCAGGCCCCCGCACGAGCTCCCTCCAGGAGCTTGGAGACCCGTGGGGGTGTGAGGATGGGTGAAGGCTCACGGTGTCATGCTTTCTCATCAGGAACCCTTCACGACCTTCTTCCTGAACGCCAATGATGGCAAATTCGACCATCCGGACCGAACCTTCTCGTCTGTGGCCAGGTCCTGGAGAACCAGCCAGCGGGACACTTCTGATGTAAAGGTAGGCTCCCTCCTTATGCATGTCAGCTGGATTCCAAAAGAACTGGACTATTTTTTCTCATTAAGGGAGTGTGTAAGGCATTTTGTACAGCAGGGTTTTTTCCACAATATTTTATAATTGCATCATACTTCTGACCTAAAAAGAACTGAAGAATAATTTTGAACTTGGTGGGAAGCAATTTAGCTTCTTTTGTTTGATATTATTACTCCATTAGGTGCCTTAGTTATTTCAGAGAAACAATTCCTATCTGAGTTAGACGGAATAACCAGCAGCTAGAGTGCGGAGCCCATAAATGGGCTTTCCTGCTGTTGGGTCAATATGCGGCCTGTCCATGGCGCACAGCAGGGATTGCATTTGACCCACGAGTGTCATATTGTTATAGCGGCCAGGCTTTGGGTTTGCATAGCCCGGGGCAATTAATAAAGCATTAATGACAAGACCCATTTAAAATGCAGGCTTTCTGCGGGGCCTAGCTTTTACTTGCCCGTGCCTGGGGACAGGACACAGCCACGCACATTAGATTAAACCAGCGCACACAGCATGCCGGGCCGCGGGGGAACAGTGTGCACTTCTTAACTGTTGTTAAACATAAAGATCGGTGCTGCATTTACCAGGCCCTTGTTTAAAGAAAGGATTCTATCAAAGCAGAGACAGAATAGTTCCTCTCTTAGTTCTCATTTCCCATGACTTAGGACGACAGCCAGGTTAATGCACTTCTGAAAGGCTTCTCTATTTTAAATTCTCTTTTCTTTGAGGAAAATCCCCCATCATTGTTATATGATGACTCTGAAACTGTTAAGACAATTGTTCCATTGAGGGTCTGTCCTAATCCAACTGAAGGTGATTGAATTAAGGTCAGACACGCCTGCTTCTCTACACATGACAGTGGTAAAAGGCACTGAGTGTGGTGTTCGATTCTGAGAAACTGGATCAAGAAAACAGCTTGGGTTCAGATCTGCTTCTTTTCCCATGATGGCAAAGTGCATGCAAGCAGACTGCAGCCTGTCTGCCTTTATCTCATGGCCGCTGGAGTTGGCATAAATGCACGCGGCTTGACACATGCAGCACGTTTACCAGAACCAGCCTACAAAACAGCCGTCCCTGTGCACATTCACCTCAAGTCACTCATGTTTTTCCCTAATGATCTTACATATTGATCAAAGAAGTAAATCCTGAAGTACCCACACACCATCATGTGCACAGCTGGCAAAGACAAAGTGGGCAGTGGAGTCTGTGACAGACTTGTAGGAAAAGCTGGTCCTCAGCCTCCATCCGCACCACAGTGTGGGAACCAAAGAGTGGGCACCACAGCGTGGACAGCACAGGGTGGGCATCACAGCGTGGGCATCACAGCGTGGACAGCACAACGTGGACACCACAGCTGGGCGTCACAGCGTGGGCGTCACAGTGTGGACAGCACAGCGTGGGCATCACAGCGTGGACAGCACAGCGTGGGCGTCACAGCATGGACGGCACAGCGTGGGCGTCACAGCGTGGGCATCACATCTTGGACAGCACAGTGTGGACACCACAGCGTGGGCATCACAGCTTGGACAGCACAGTGTGGAAGGCACAGCGTGGGCACCACAGCATGGACAGCACAGCCTGGGCATCACAGCCTGGGCATCACAGCGTGGACACCACAGCGTGGACACCACAGCATGGGCATCACAGCTTGGACAGCACAGTGTGGATGACACAGCATGGGCACCACAGCATGAACACCACAGCGTGGACAGCACAGCATGGATGCTGTGGTGTGGACACTACAGTGTGAACATCACAGTGTGGGTGTTACAGCATGGATGTCACAGTGTGGATGCCGCAGTGTGGGCACCACAGCATGGACGGCACAGTGTGGAAGGCACAGCGTGGACTTCACAGCGTGGACTGCACAGCGTGGACAACACAGCGTGGGCGTCACAGTGTGGAAAGCACAGCGTGAATGTCACAGCGTGGACGGCACAGCGTGGCATTCACAGTGTGGACACCACAGCATGAATGACACTGTGAGGGTTTTGCTCTGTCTGGAATGTCCCAGAAAGGCTATGAGCTAGAATCCACTGAACAGCATGACATTTTCTCAGCTACCAGAGTTCACACGGAGAACCGATTCTTTTAATACTTTGAAAATTCACTTAGAAGACAGATTTTCATCGGCATATCTTGCTGAATGGTGTCTGAGTGATCATCTTCCTAACATACGTTTCGTCTGTAGTTCCTAATGTTGGGTGTCACTGAGTTGAGTACGACTCAGATCTGAGCCCTGTCCTATCCCCAGCCATCCTCGAACTTCTTGAAACACTAGTGCCCATTGCGCAGTCACCATGGCAGTCCACTTGGTTGAGGGTCTCTTGTGGGGACCTTCCACCTTCTCTAGCATCATGTCTCTCTCCCAGGAATAGCCCCTCCTAGCAACATGCCCAGAGTGTGTGCCTCAGCATTCGTGACTCCAAAGAGTACTGCAGCTGCAGCCTTTTGATTTAGTGAACAATCAGGTGTGGGCCAGAAGCCTCTTGTTTAAACTACTCAGGACCTGGTAGGCAGGCCTTTGTGTTTAAGTCAGTTGGGTCCTGCCTGTGGCCTTTGGGCATGGTGTGGAGACTAAATTGGCACTTGTTGTGTTTGGGGAGAACATTGTTCTAAGTGGCACAGCTCTTGTCTGTCAGTTTGCTGTACTGAAATAACTTGTGGGTTGCTGGAAGCTATGGCAGTGGTGTGTCAAATGCCATAATGGTCACTCATGGTGGAGAGGTTTTAGTAAAGCCCCAGATTAAGACAGACTCGAAAGTAGGATTGGCCATCCACTTCTTAAATAGCAGGCTTTTGAAAGCCCTATGAACACCAGAGGAACGAGGATAGTTCATAGTAGGTGAGTTAACTATCTCCGTCTATAACTTGGAGTTCATGGTGCTGCAAATAGTATGATCAGCTGCCAGCAGAGCTTAATGGTTGGAATCCATCCTCAGGGGCCCCAGAGAAAAGGCCTCACAGTCTCACAAGTGTCAGCCACAGGGTACTTCTACAACCCTGAAAACCCCATGACGTCATTATGTGCCATTGAGTCCGAATAGACTTCTAGCTGACCCTTCAGCAGGTTTTTAAAGGCTGTAAATGGCACAGGAGTCTGTCCATCTTTCTGCAGAGCAGCTGGTGGGTTTGAACTGTGTACATTGGGCTAGCAGCACAGCTCCTTAGTAGTAAGCCACCAGAGCTCCCTTGCCACAAAACCCCACAGAGCCCTGAAAACAATCTAGACTCCTGAAAATCCTGTCTTCTTCTTGTTGTTGTTGTTGGGTGCTGTCAGGTCAGTTGTGACTCATAGGAACCCTTGTGCCCAATAACTCTAGACCCTGCCCTATCCTGAGCCAGTCTCGCTGACTCTGAAACACCTAATCCTATTACCCTAGTCATTGTGTCAGTCCATGTTATACAGGGTCTTCCTAGCCGACGTTGTCCCTCCACTGTTCTTCACATCGTGTGCCACTGAATCAATGAGAATTTGTAATGACCTTGTGAACAACAGGTCTGAGCCCTGCCCTGTGCTGGCCATGCTCATCATTTCTGATACACGGTAACTGCTCCTGCTGCTGGGTCAGCCCAGCGAGTGGAGGCTCTTCCTCTCTTCACTGACCGTCCACCTTTCCAAGACCGGTTATCCTGCTCACAGCATGGCTGAAGGATGTGAGATGAAGATTTGCAATCCTTGCTTCAAGAAGCTCCCTAGTTGCACTTGCTCCAAGATGCATTTGTTTGTTCTTTTTGCAGTCCATGGGGTGTTTAGTACATATCTCCAACAAAAAAACTCAGAGGCATTGATTCTTCTCTCATTTTTATTCGTCGTCCATACCAAATAACTGCAAAGACCATGGCTTGGATCAGGTGCACTTTAGTCTTTAAACTGACACCGTTGCTCTGTAGCACCTCAGAGAGGTCCCTGGCAGTAGATTTCCCCAGTGTACCTTTTCAACCTGTATGCAGAGCAGATTATCTGAGAGGCTGGGCTCTATGAGGAGAAGTGTGGCATCAGGATTGGTGGAAGATCTATCAACAATCTGCATTATGCAGATGACACAACCCTGCTTGCTGAAACTGAAGAGGACCTCATGCACTTGCTGCAGAGGGTCAAGGACTGCAGCCTTCAGTATGGACTGAGGCTCAATGTCAAGAAGACAAAGATTCTCACCACTGGACCAACTGGCAGCGTCGGGATGGATGGCGAAGAGATTGAGATTGTTCACAGCTTCAGTTTGCTCGGCTCTACAGTCAACACCCTTGGCACCAGCAGCCAGGAAATCCAAAAACATATTGCGATGGGAAAGTCTGCTGTTAGGGACCTCTCCAAAGTACTCAAGAGCAACGGTGTCTCTCTGGAGACTAAGGTGCGCCTGATACAGGCCATGGTCTTTGCAATCACTTGTTATGCATCAGAGAGTTGGACAATGACTAGGGAGGACAGAAGGAGAGTTGACGCCTTTGAGCTGTGGTGCTGGAGAAGAGTATTGAATGTACCATGGACTGCCAAGAAAACAAAGAGTTTCATTCTGGAGAGGGTTAAACCAAGCTACTCCTTGGAGGCAAGGATTCTGGGGCTTCGTCTGACATACTTTGGGCATGTTGCAAGGAGGGACAGATCCTTGGAGAGGGACATCATGCTTGGGAGGGTGGAGAGAGCGTAGGAGGGGAAGGCCCTCTATGAGATGGATTGATTCAGTGACTGGGGTAATCGGGATGGGGGTGTCAGAGACAGTGCGATTGGCACAGGATAGAGCAGGGTTTAGGGCTGTTGTACATAGGGTCACTATGAGTCGCAAATGACTCGACGGCACATAACAACAACAACATGTCTTTTGATTTCTTGGCTGCCAGTAACAAAGGACTTGATGGTACATCCAAGTGAAATGAAATTGTTGAGAACTTCAATCTTCCCCCATCTACCTCTGTTTTACCTATTAATACAGTGGTGATTGTTGACACCTTCAATCTTTCCTCCATCTAGC